AATCGCTGGCGTCCAGAAGCATCCTGTAATTTGGGATGCAAGATGCGAGGAACACAGAAATCTCAACCTCGTTCAGAAAGCGTGCGAAATGATTGCTGAGGATACAAACCTCGACCAGTCATCGATAACAGGGATGTTTTCTTTGTAACTTGGCAAGAGCACGGTTTGGCTGACGAGACTTTATCAGGAGTGCCGGGTCGTCTGCATAGCAGGCGAGCAAGGCGTTGTGATCCTTGCTGAAGTCCTGGAAATCATTACATATAAAATATACGAAATAGGACTAATAACACTTCCATGGGGGACAGCGCTAATGATGTTTCTGGCACTTGAACTCGGACAGAGAGGGTACGATTTTGCAGAGAGGAGCGCTGTATGAGAATTAGTCTCGCGCGAGAAGTCCATTTGAATGAGCTTATAAGTAAGACCTGTATGCCAGACGCGGTCAAAAGCTTTGGCCACGTCTAGCATCAAGCAATGTATTGTGCAACGCGATTAGGATGAATTATGTGATTCTCACAAGTTGTGTTGTTGTGGATAGTCACAGGCTACTACTTGCATGTCCATGCTAGTCCATGCTTAACTGAACAGTGTAAAACAAATGTGTATCCTACTTTGCATTGTGTAACCATTCTGTAAGCATTGTGTATACAACAAGCATCATGTATCTATTACAATACTAATATGCACTGTGTATTCTACAACATAGTGTTTGTCCTACAGTCATTGCCAGTACTGTATTACACAAACGCGTTATAAAAACTATCTGCAATAAATATGCACCTCATTCTGCACTGAATTTGTCAAATTCTGCACAGTATTTGCTGTATATAAAGCATATAATTACTATGCAACTATCTACATTGCGTGTGCATTACCTGCAATACCTTACAATCTGTTGTGTATCTGATTTTGCACTGTGCATTTGTTCTGGGAGCAATGTGTATATAAAAAGTACTGTGTACCTACTTTAATCCAATAAACACTGTGCATCTAATATAATATAAAATAAGCTCAGCGCATTCTATAACATAGTGTCTCCACTACAGTTATTGCCTGCACATCATATCTGTATTACTCAAACTATCTGTATTACATCTGCACTGTATCTGACATCTGCATAATGTATAATTCATCTATATCTATCAATATTGTATCTGCATTACCTGTATAATCTCATAGCTTCGCATAGAAATATATAGCTTGGCAACATAGCATGCATGGTGCTGCGTACTATAATTGTGTGTATACAATAGTATAGTTTTTTTTAATCTGTAAGTATAATTGTGTTTATATAATTGTGCACAATTGTGTTATATACCGTAGTATAGTGTTTTATTCTGTGTTTTAATACGTTAGTATGATTGTGTTTGCATAATTGTACACCATAATTGTGTTGTATATAGTAGTATAGTGTCTTATTTCGTTTGTACAATTGTGCGCAGTATAAATTCTAATATCTAATGCTTTACAAGCATAGTGTATCTGTTTTTACATTGTGTATGAATTCTGTGAGCATTATGTATATAAAAAGCGCTGCATATCTATTCAAATTAAATAAGTATTATGTACCTGATATAATGTATTGCATAATGTATTCTCCAGAGTAAAGTTTCATCTGTAATTACTATATCATCTAATAACAAAATTTAATATTCTACAGTGTGCCGCATGCTTTATGTATGTTTATTTGCGCATTTTACATGTGATATGTGATCTAAATGTGTCTTTAGTGTAAGTGTATACTATATATTAGCTTAAATATGTTTCATTATAAGTATGTGTTTTACTTGTATAAGTGTGTGCAAACTAGTATCTAATTTCTATTTTTATATAATGTGCTTACATGTTTTATATGTGTTATATATGTGCTTTTATATGTGTTTTACAAGTGTTTTGTATGTATCTTTATATGTGCAAGTGTATGTACTTGTATGTGTATGTATATGCTGTAATTTGTGTCTAACAGTGTCTAACAAACCAAGATGTAACAAATCATCCGGCTATCGATCAAAACTAATGTATTCCTAAGACGCCTCTGTATGGCCATGTACAATTACGTAAACTTCTTCAATAAACTCCCAAGGTGGCCTCATGAGGCTCCTGGGAGTTGCTGCCACTAGATAGGGGAGGGTTTACCTGTTTACCTCTGTTAAACATCAGGCGTTCCCGTCCTCCGTCACCTGTCACCTGTGGATAGTCTTCCAGCATGTCTTCCTATTAGCATCATATCAGCTCTCTGTGTCATATGTTTCTATTAGCACTTATTACTCATATACTAACATATGGATCTTTGTCTACCCTAATATTTATTTGCATTATGTGTTTTATTCGTATTATATCTGATTTGCTATTAGTATCATATCAGCTCTGCACCATGTGTATTTATTGGAATCATATTTACTTTGTACCAAGTGTATTTACTCGTTCTTCACCTGCACTGCATCTGCTCAGCACCATGTCATTTAATTAGCCCTATATTTGTTCTGCATCATGTATATGTATTAATATCATATTTGCACTGCATCATGTGTTCCAATCGTATGACAGCCTAAGTTCGTGAACTATGAGTTGTCTAATCATAAGTGTTTTTATACATATACTATCATATGTATTATCTGAAACGACTGTTTACCCCAAATACTTATCTGCATTATATATTTCCATTTGTATTACATCTACTTTACATCATGCGTTCCTATTAGTACAACATATGCTCTGTACCATGTGAGCCTATAAGCTATTTATCTGTTCTGCATCATGTATATTCATTAGTATCATATCTATCCTGCATCAAATGATTTTAATAGTACTATACCTGCTCAGCGGCATGTGGCCTCTTTTTTTTTCTCATAGCTGATCTGCATCATACGTGTTCCATTAGAACTTAAACTGCACCGCATAATGCATTTTCATGTATCTTTATTAGTATCATATCTGCCCTGTGTCACGTTTATTAATTAGCTCTATATTTGCTCTGCATCATGTGTATATATATCTAGGATATATTAAACAATATCGAGCATAAATTCCTAGTTACTTATAAAAATAATCTAAGATTACATTTAGAAGTTATTTAGGCTGTGTTTAGGAATTACTTATGCTGCCAAGACACTCAACCATAGTAGGCATCAAACCTAATATAATGCGATTTCCTGCTTCTTGACTTTCGAAGTGTGAACTGTTGATTTTATTCTTCTTATTTTTAGCATTAGATCGGCTATTACTCTCGATTCTTACTTTTGTATTGAATTCCTAAAATTCTACGACATACACAGTCTGTGCTTCCCAGATTATCTCTAACACCTAATTAAATCCTACCTAATCCTACCTTTGTCATTCACATTAAAAAATATTGGATATAAATAATAGATCTTATCTGGTTCTTGATCTGCTGAGCTTCTAAAGAGAATAATTGAAAAATACTTAGCTTTTAATCCTTTTTTGACACATTATACGAAGGACAATTCACTTGACAAGGCACATCTTTAACTACATTCTAAAGATAAGAGTAAATAAAGCAGTTTTAAATTCAAGGGCTCACTATCGTCCCCTATCGGCTGAGTTTGCAACACACTTCTCAAAGAAACATTCATTCTGCCCGGCTATCATAGCCGGTGTACCACAAGGCTCATTTCTGGGGCGCACACTTTTCAATATTTATATGAACAACATCCCACATTCATTCATCAATACCTAGCAATGTATGCTGATGACATAGCGATCCTTGATCAAAGCGCATTTAGTAGTTTACTCAATCAACATTTACAAAATCACATAGCGGTACTGGAGATCGAGCTTAAAAAGTGGAAAATTCAATTGACAAATATTTTCAATTATATTCACCAGGAAGAAAATCAATAAAAAATCTTCAATTTATTTATTATTTATAATAAATATTTATTCATTTATAAGTCCGTCCCATGCTTTTTAATGCTTGACCAATCTGGGCTTATTTTTGTAAAACCGAAAGAAAACATCTGCAAACTGTGCAGAACTCTGTACTGCGGCAGATAAGTCACTCAGCATGGTATATTAGAAATAATGTCATTCAAGAAGAATTTAAAATTTTTCAGTTAAGAACACACTATTATCATTTGTCCAAAAATATTTCACAATAGCCAGAGGTTAATTAAAATGCCTATGATAAAACTGTAATTGTAACTTTACTGATGCGAATAATATGAGAAGGCCGATGACAATCTTAAACCCTCGTTTAATTATTGAATACTAGCGGAAGTACTCGATGCCAGTTAAGTTAGATTGAGAGTAATGTACCTAACAACAGAGAAACGATACCGCTGTAATCCTTCCCTAATTATTGATCTTTGATGTAACAAAATCGGGTGAGAATGTTTTCTTCTGTTATGCGTCATTTTTATTAAAATTCTGACATCATTAATATCGGCTAGCGTATTCGCAAAGTTAGCTGCACATTTACTTATGCTCAACTTTACCTTCCCTTACTGGCTACGGTTTAAATTCTGATAGGTAGGTATGAACAAACTTAATGACATTGACGCCTTAAGCCACGAAACCTTCGCCTGAACGAAGCCTAAGGTACTTGAGGCCCAAACCGACGACCCCCCATCGCCCGAATAAAATTCGTGGACATTTTTGTTGTTTTACTGTGAGACAAGTGAGATAAAACAACAGGATTAAGAGATATATCACTAAATTTCATTCCATTGTCTTTTACCGTTCTTTGAAATATATAGAATGGAAAGATAATAGGACTAGGAAAAAGGAAACCACTTCTTTACCTCTTTAAATATGGTATCGTCTAATGCGAAGTATTACATAATCTTTTATTTGGTAATATAACGATCAAAATTGTTAATTACATAAGCTTTAGAGAACTCTGGTTCCTGGTAGAATTAAAATCTCATAAAAAAATTAATGATGTACATTAATTTTACAACTATTTCATTATGCTATGAGGTAATAATTATGAATGAATCATTTAGCTACAGAGAAATCTATAATCTGAAGTTCATTGGTAGGACGCGGACGAGGACGGTCGCTCGCTTTGCGAGCTCCCGCCGACACAGCCTTCATCCATGGAATTTTGTGATTCTTCGCAAACAAATGCTTTACCTTTGGATACTCCAAACGTGCAATCATGTACAGAGAGCAATCCATCTGATGATAATACCCAAGACGACCGATCTAATCTTATCACTGAATTTTACGGACTCAAAACTCAGTTTGAAGCCATTCAACAGCAGAAAATGTTCCTAAAACGAACTGGAGCCCCCCTGGATACTTCTGGATACCAACAACTAGACCTAGCGGGTAAGACACTCTTTAATAAGATCAACGACATTGCAAACCGACTTAATGTACAGATATTCCAACTCCCTGCCACCTTACAAGAATTTCAGCAACTATTAGAAAACGAGAAAATTGCCAAAATGGCCGCCGAAAAAGAAGCTCTTCTCCGCAAGGAGAAACTCAAGGACAATTTGAAACCTGTTTCTCGCACGCATAGCGTAAAGAAGCAAGCAGATAGACCAGTTTCGACTCCCTCGGCTCAAGATACCATTACTGCCTCCAGCAGAAAAAGAAAGACTGCGAGCGTAGATTCGGAGGGCTTTATTACCCCCGCATCACGCAAACAGGGAAAAACTCCAGAAATCATTACAATTGATGATAGTAACCCCACTGAAGTAATTGCAAATTCAAAAAATATTGCCTCTAAAACAAATATGAAAGAATTAAAGAAAGCCTCTTGGATAGCGGTCGCAGTCCCGCCAAGGGAAGCTCGATAATCACCCCCCCCCCTGTTAACGGGGAAACTTCAGGAGGAGAAACTAGTACGGCGCAGTCACAGAGCGCTCCCCCCCCTCCACAGCAACCCTCCATTCCGGCTATTCACGTTAAGAGCAGCAAACAGTGGAGAACGCAGATGACTTTCCTGCGAGAAATTGCCCCTAATATCAAGTGCATTCTCACTGGACCTTTTTTAAAATTATTTGTTCAAACAGAACTAGAATTTAGGGAGGTTACACGATGGATGCGGCAGGCCGGCATCCAATTCAAGACTTTTGATCTAAAGCAGGACAGGCCTATCAAAATTGTTATCAGAGGCCTCCCTAAAGAAACTGAAATCGAGGACGTCAAAAATGAAGTGGAATCATGGGGTTTCCAAGTGCATAGGTGCGCCCGGTTGACTAAACCGCGCACTAGACACCCTATGCCACTTGTTTACATACAAGTCCGACCTCATCCCTTCATAGACCAACTGTACAGTGTCACCGATATGTGGGGCGCTGAGGTCAAATTTGAGGCTTACAGAGGCCGTAAAGGCCCTACTCAATGCTTTAGGTGCCAAGGATTTTTTCATTCCTCTGAAACTTGCACCCTTAACATCCGTTGTGTGAGATGCGCTGGCCCGCACTGGGCAAAAGATTGCACATTAAGTGACGATCAACCTGCTTGCTGCTGCAACTGTGGAGGTAGTCACCCAGCGTCCTTTAAATCTTGTCCTCGTTACCCAGGTAATAACAAAAAGAGCTCAAAAAAGAATGCTCCTAGGGCAGCTGCTCCTGCAGCCCCCCCCTCAGGGAACTACAAACACCCCAGCAAAAGCTGTACAACCAGCCACTGTGACTGCACCTAAAAGCACAAGCTCGCTGTCTTATGCAGCGACCCTAGGTAAAGGACCTACAGAGCCCCGACCCAAAAATCAGGGTCCAAATCCGGCGGCTATGGCGAATGTGCCTCAAATAGCTCCCCCGGTTACTCAAGTAGAAAGTGGAGACTCCGAGGATGTTTTTTTCTCCTCTACTTTAAAATGCCTAATTGAAATCTCCCGCGATCCTGCGGTAGATAGGCATATTCTACTACAAGCCTTCCAAAGGGCCCTGCCAAAGCTTAGGCAGGCAGACGCTCTTACGAGGGCCTTCCTAATTTATGAAAGCTATATTATGCTTTCAAATTAGGATTTCTCGGCTATTTTAGACCCGTGTCTTAAGTTTTTCAGAGCTGTAACCTTTTACCACGGCCTTAAATTCAACTGTTTAAGACAAAGTTCAATTACCAACAGAGAACTTACCATGTGCACATGGAATGCAAACGGCCTCATCAATAAGATCGATGAGGTCAAAGATTTTATTGTAGTGCACGATCTTGACGTGTTATTAGTCCAAGAGACTCATCTTACCCCAGGGAGAACTCCCAAAATTGGGAATTATGACATGTACTCGACTGATAAGGTGTCATTAGCCAGGGTTGCAAGTGGTGGCACCTGTATCTACGTGAAGCGTTCGATTAGGCATCACATGATATCTCCCCGACTTAAGTATTTTGGAAGCGACAATTGTCAAAATTTTCCTCCAAAATTCTCCCCCACTAACAGTCATCTCGGCGTACCTGCCTCCACTATCAACTGCACGTGGAAGAGGTACTTTTCCTGTCAGTGATTTTGATAAACTTTTATCATTATCAAATCACCTAATTATTGCTGGTGACCTAAATTCACGTCATACCGCATGGTTTTGCCCTAACAGGAACAGGTATGGCATTAGTCTAAATTCATGGTGCCAGAGAAACCATATACAGATCATAGCTCCTACCCTCCCGACTTACTACCCTGTTAGAGGGTCCCCTGCAGTTCTTGATCTGGCTGCCTTTTATAATGTCAATTTTAGACACGAAATAAAAGTGATTCAAGACCTTGACTCTGATCACTATCCAGTTTTGATCACCCTAGATATCCAAAATCGTTACTCAAAATTACAGGAGCAAGTCTCTACAAATTGGGACGATTTTAGATTTATTTTGGAACGTACTGCTACCCCCCCCCCCTATCAAAATTACCAGCAATTCGGATTTTGACAGGTGTTTACTAAATTTGGAGTCCATTCTCAAAGAAGCGAGAGCTGCGGCTTCAAAACCAATTTTCTATCCGGGTGTCAGACTCCCACCTGAGACTAAATCCAAAATTAAGCAGCGGAACTTTTTGCGAAAACTTTGGCAAAGGTCGCGTGATCCCAGTATCCGCGCCCAATTTCGCAAAATACAGAACGAGATAAGGACTGAAACCCGTCTCTTCAAACAGACGGAGTGGAAACACTACATTGAGTCCCTAACGACTGAAGACAATTCGATTTGGCGGGCTGCCGCTCGAATACGCAAACAATCCAGACACATTCCGCCATTCCGCCGCTCCAAACGGCCGATGACGCACGGATGGCTTACACAGACACTGAAAAGGCAGAAGTCTTAGCCGACAGCCTTGCTACTCAATTCACTCCTAATAACGACGCCTACTGTAACCGCCCGGTTACTCAAGGGCGCATACATTCACGTGTTGAAGAGTTTTTAACACAACCTTTCACGCCTGAACTTAGGCCCACTGATCCTAAAGAGGTGATGGAATACATCAATAGACTGAAACCCAACAAGGCTCCAGGCATGGATTCTATCTCTAATCGCATGATTAAAAATTTCCCTGTAATGTTTATTGTTTGGATTACGGTCCTTATTAATTTTATGCTAATGAGAAGCTACTACTCCGACTGTTTGAAAATTGCAACGGTCGTCCCCATTCCAAAACCGGGGCAAAATCTAAACTTACCCGTCAACTACAGACCAATTAGTCTGCTTTCCTCACTCTCAAAAGTATATGAATATGTCTTACTTAATCGCCTGAATGAATTCTGTCGAGATCAAAACTTAATCATCCCGGAACAATTCGGCTTCCGACCTAAACACTCCACGGTACACCAGTTACTACGTGTAGTGGAATTCATTCATGAAGGCTTTCGTAAGCGAGAGAATACTGGAATTGTCTATCTTGACATAGCTAAAGCCTTTGACAGGGTTTGGCATGACGGACTTATTTACAAGCTCATGCGACTTGGGTTTCCGGCTCACATCATTAAAATTATTAGCTCGTACTTAGCCGGACGAAGCTTCCGCGTACGAGTTAACCACGAACTCTCCTCTCCCCGCCCGATCCATGCTGGATGTCCTCAGGGCAGTCTTGTCTCACCTCTGCTCTTCAATATCTATATCAACGACGTGCCTAAGGCACCTAGTATCGATTTAGCTTTATATGCAGACGATACGGCCATCCTAACTCAACATACCAACATCACCACGGTAATCTCTACATTACAGAGTTACCTTTCAGCCTTAGAACTCTGGCTCGGACTGTATAAAATCAAAATTAATGTCGCTAAATGTGCTGCCACTTTATTCATCCGAAGAAACATCCCTCGTTTAGATAATCTAATTTTCTTCGGTGAACCTATTCCCTGGGTTACTACTACTTACAAATACCTTGGTGTTTTACTAGACTCAAAATTAACTTGGCAACTTCACATTCAAAAAATTATTGCGAATGCGGAAGCTGTCAAAGCCAACCTGCGCCCCTTTTTCGCTAAAAATAGCGACCTGTCACTTGATAACAAGATCTTGCTTTATAAATCTATCATAAGGCCTATTCTCACTTACGCGAGTCCCATCTGGGGCTCAGCTGCTCTGACTAACCGTAAACACGTCCAAATTTTTCAATCAAAATTTTTACGGCAGATATTAAACGCTCCATGGTTCATAAGGAACGATGACATTCATAACGACCTCAAAATTATGCCCATTAATCGCTTTATACAGCGACTTTCGGAAAGATTTTTCAAAAACATCCATCTTGTTGGAAATCCAGTATTACATACCCTGCCGGTATATGATCCTGCGGTTGCCTCTTCTAAAAAGCGACCCAGAGCAATCTTACAACCTGATTATGCTCAACTACCTTTTAAACGGCGTCGGTATTGGAATACAGACGCCCAAGTGGATGCTTACCTCTCGTTCCTAAACCCCAACCGCCCCCGCGTTAACAATGCGTAAGGGCATTGACCGGAGGAATCCTGTTCTTTAACTCTTTAAGAAGAGTCTTCTAACGTTTCTTTAACAAGGGACAACTTATCTCCGCAGCCGCCGCACGCGACTGCACTTAATTTCTCAATAGCTTCTTAAAAGCTTCTTCTTTTCCACCCGCTAAACGGGTTGCTTTCGACCCCCTAAGGGGACCTTTTAACGTCGCACTAAATAGCGACCAATAATTTTCTTCTCCTCCTTCAGTGTATCACACTGCAGGACTAAACCCTGATCACACTGAACTGCTACTAGAACCCGCCCAACGGGTTTCGCCCCCAGCCCTTTTTGCCCAACTCTCCGGATTGCTTGTCCTAAGGATTTTATTTTGCTGTTGATATCAAGAATCAAGGAAATGTATTGCACCTTTTTATTCTTTTCAAAACTTTTTGAATGTTGACTCCTCTCTCAAAATTTATTCCTGGCCCTTTTTAAACACAAAATTTAATTTAAAGACTTTCTAAGAGTTTTCCTTTTTTTTTTTTTTCTCATGCGGAAGGCATTATCTGAAAAGCTTTTATTTTTATAATTAGGCTTCAAAATCTTCCCTTATTAGATGAACCCCTCTTTTGATGTAATTATTCTATCTCTGATGATGTGGAGTTAAAGGCCTAGCCTAGCGCACTCCGTAAATTAACTTCCTTGATCCTTGATCCACTCCAAAGTTGATGCTGCCATCTATTGGACTTCATCGAGAATGCTTAAATGCATGATGAAGACTAACTGGTGCTGCCATCTAGCAGACTAACGCAGTTGAGAATAGTGTAATCAAATGCCTATTGCATGG